TTAAAATAACGTTCAAGTAATTATTATAACAGTCAAAAGAGAGAATTGAAAAGGGAGTTAAAATCTGATTCAAAGTTCTCTCCTTCAAATGCTTTTAGCCCTGGTTTCCCTCATTTTAGATAAAGCTGTGTTGGACCAGATCTGGCTTCCTGATCTCTACTTTGCCAATGCAAGAACTGCCTACTTCCATGAAGTCACAGTGCACAATTTCAATATGTTCATATCACCCAATGGTACGATAGCCTATGGAACGAGGGTTACTCTCAATTTGGGTACGCTTTTTACCAGGCTTACGGTTGTTGCTCCAATATTTTTAAATTATAGAATTTTGTTAAACCACACCCTTCTAATAAATCGCTAAAATTTTACAAATGAAAATATTTAAGTAAGTTAACTTTATGTATCTACCATACTGGATGTGCGTACAGTGTGCTATTTTATGGCCTTACTAGGTAAATTTAAACAAGGATTTTTTTTTGGCTACGCTATTCAAAACATACTAATAGAATTTAATGTTGACGAATGCTCAAAGATTCATCAGTGTTTACTTGCTTAGCGTTTAGCAATTACTAGGTGTAACGTAGTTATTATAAGTTAAATACTAGACATGACAACTACAGACAACCTTTAGTTTATCCTTTCATACTTGTCAAAGGACCCTGGTGGGGAATTCTGAAATTACAAAAGAAGTGGTCAGGGAGAAGCACAAAATAACTATCATTAGATAGTAAAATCTTTTTTTTTAAAATTTTCTTTTCACAATTTTAAAATGTTTAAGAAGATTTCTCTTTGAAACTCTGAATTTTACATAAGCTATGGTTAGCTGATAAATCGCAGTGCTGTGCAGTTGCAAAAGCTATTACCAGTATCTAAGCAGCAGATCTCAAATGAATACGATAGAGACGAAATGTAATGCTTTAACGACAAATCGATAATTGATTTTTGTCCTGTTATTTTATTATATTTATATTGAAAACATTTTATTTCAGCTTGTCACCTCAATCTACAAGACTATCCGCTAGATCGACAATCGTGCCTAATCAAAATTATCAGCTGTGAGTTTCAAAAGAACTTTTGGATCTACATTTTTTCCCTTATCTTGTCAAGGGGATAAAATAATTTGCTAAAAGATTTGAAAAGCTCTGATTGAAAAAAAAAGTACAAGAGACAATGAACGGATGATTATCAGCTAGTTATGGTAAAATTTTTCTCTACATAATTCCCAGGAAACATAAATTTTTTTTTAAAAAAAGGCGCATTATTATATTTCACCTACGCATAGAAACAACTATTTATAAGTACTTTGAGCTTGCTTTTTTGTCTGCGTTCAAATTTTGGTGTTTTTAAGGAGAATTAATGTAAAATAATGAAAATTAACTCTTACTTAGTCATTTTAATGCTTATGATTGAAACCTTCCCTCGGCATCATCTCTTTTCTCATTTGCTTGTTTTCTTTTCGAATTGATTTCATGACGTCCAAGCGTTATATACAATTTTCCACCAGACTCAACAATATGCTAGGATTAGTATTAGTGGATATTTTGTGAATTGTTTACCAGTGTAAAAGTAGAGAGCCATGAGCTTTCTTTTTCAGCCTGAATTGCTCGAGAAAATCTCCACGCATGAAATTGATTGTTATTGCTGAGCCTCTCTTTGCATGCGTGTGATCGCCTTTGAATGAGAAAATCTTAGCTGTAAACACATATTTTCAATAAAAACTAAATCATATAAAAATGGATTTGGAACTAGGCACGGTCTCAAACTGAATTCATTTCATTGCCAAAAAAAGTCTTTTTTTTCTGAAGTAGAGAAGTCCTCAATTTTTCAAATTCATTTGATTTTTAGAATTATCTGAGAATAAATTGACATTCAATTAACAATATTTTG